GACTGATCAAGTGTGGATAGATGTGTGGTATTCTAGATTGATCAAGTATGGATAGATGTATGGTATTCTAGACTGATCAAGTGTGGATAGATGTGTGGTATTCTAGATTGATCAAGTATGGATAGATGTATGGTATTCTAGACTGATCGAGTGTGGATAGATGTGTAATATTCTAGATTGATCAAGTGTAGGTAGATGTGTGGTATTCTAGACTGATCGAGTGTGGATAGATATGTAATATTCTAGATTGATCAAGTGTAGGTAGATGTGTGGTATTCTAGATTGATCAAGTATAGGTAGATGTGTGGTATTCTAGATTGATCAAGTATAGGTAGATGTGTGGTATTCTAGATTGATCAAGTATAGGTAGATGTGTGGTATTCTAGATTGATCAAGTATAGGTAGATGTGTGGTATTCTAGATTGATCAAGTATAGGTAGATGTGTGGTATTCTAGATTGATCAAGTGTAGGTAGATGTGTGGTATTCTAGATTGATCAGTGTTGCATTCTTTTATCACATGTAAAGAGAGTACTTCATTAAAACTAAATTTGTCCTACTTCTGATAATAACCAGTTTTACAGCTGAAAGACTGAGTAATTTTTGCATTAACTGTATAGTATTTGCCACATAATTCCTGGTTTGAGTACCTTTCTTCTACCCCGAGTGAATCCCTTTGTCTTGCTGGGTTGGACAGGAGGAGCCACATTGTTTGCATCTCACTTGTTGATAGAAGTTTAGTAAGTAACAGTTGTAATATTTTATTAGGTACAACTCTATTGAATATATTTATATGTAACAGTATCATATGCATTATTATTCTGTACATAACTTTAAAATTATAACATTATATAGTAAAATGGATGTGTTCCAACATCATTTCTTTAAAACAAATACTGTAATTACCTTTCTAAATGACACAAACACACTTTTTTTGAGAAATTATAAATCCCTCTTAGTCTGACTTGTGCCAACTAATAACCACTTGGTCTTCAAAGCCAATGCTTGCCACATAAATATGCTAGTTCTAACCACAAAATTAACAACTTTAAAATCAAAGCTCCACAGTATTTGAAAAAAGACAGTTATCTTTAAAAGAGTTATGTTACTTATTTCAATGTGTTTTTTTTTTCCACCAGTAATATTGGCAAAAGCTTAACATATTGTTGTCATCCTTTAAAAAGTATAGGTTACAGATACCTCCAATCTCTGGCCCTGACGGCAGTTATCTCTGCTACCACTGACTTTTGGATTTATTGAATCTTCACGTTGTAGGAAAAAAGTGAAACACTTTAACATATCCATTTAGTATATTTATATTATATATTTTTTTAGATTAGCTAGTTTGTGATATTTAAATGAATGTTTCATTTAATAAAGAATTTTAAATGTTTTTATTTGAATAAATCAGAAACTGGCTTCATTTTAGTGTTGATTCCAATTACATGCTTATACCTTCATTATGAACTGGTATCTAAATTTGAAAATTCACTTCTTTAAGTAATGTTCCACATCAGTATGTCAGAAAAGAAGATACCAAATATTAAAAAACAAGTCAAGGAAGAACATGTAATAATGAATTTGTTTTATTTAGCACAAAAATCATGTTTTGGTGATATGGGAAGACCACCTGTTTTGCCAGTGTTACCTGGTATAAAATAAGTGGTGTGATAAGAACTTCCCATAGATTCTGGTTCTTCTGCTTTTCTAAGCACTTGGAGAGCTTAAATGCATCAAAAATAGTACGTGAGGCCCATGACAGTGTATAAAGCTATTTATTGCTTTATACGTAAAGGTTGTGTCGATGTAGCAATTACACAGTTAACTTCTAAATGTTTAAAATTAATTGGTATCAAAACCGTCACTACATTTTTTTTTGTATTTTATTTCCTTTCTAAACAGCAACTATTCTCTGGCAGATACTATAGCTGCTATATTCATAGCTATGATGGTGTGTGTGACCATGTTTCCAATGAGTGTGTATAGTGGAAGGATTTTGTTACAGGTAAAATGTTTGTCATTTTAGTTTATTCACCACATAATGTAGTTCTCATCAGAAGTAACTTTTTAAGAATGATCTCATTAAAAGTATTGCAGACTATGATACATTTTCTTGTATTTGTAAAGTTTTAGTAAGTGTAATAAGTGTTTTATAGACTACACCCTCGTACATTATTGGGCAACTCGACAAATGTTTGCGGGAAGCATCAACTTTGGATGGAGTTCTCGAGTTTCGAAATGAATGTTTCTGGACACTGGCATTTGGAGATTTGGTGAGTGACCTTATTGGCTGGAAGTTTTCTGTTTTTCAATTAGTAATCTATATGGTATTATGATAAGTAACGGAGATGTGGTTTGATTCATGTGCAAACTTACCAAGAAAGATGAGATGGATATAATTGATCCACTTTGACTGTACGAAGACCTAATGTAAAATATACCCTATTAAATAATAACAAAACAGTTTTAATTTTTTATTTCAATACATGAATATATCCTCCAGTTCACTGTCTAATTTTGCATTTAGCCCCAGGTTACAGGAAGGGCCACAAAGCTGACTATCTTGACAACACATGCAGAGAAGATATTATTGTGTTGTAATTTTAAAGACGTTAACAAAGTACTTAAAACAAAAGAAAGGTGATATAAAAACCAACTATGTTCCTACTTTTTGGGCTGAGTGTATTGATGCCTGCCAGAGTTATTGTCAAATTATTCTTTAGACTAACCAAGGTTAGCAACCTAAGTTAGATATTTTAATTCTTATTAGGTGTACAAACTGGGGGTTGGTCATGCCAGCAAACACAGAACATTGCTAACCTACTACAAACAACACATGTATCAGTCTGCTTATGTGTAGGCAACCTTGTCCAATCCTTAAAGGTTGGGTGGAACGGAAACCAGTTTTTCAGATTCATTGTGCTTTCTAATGCTCCTTAAATAATGTTTTTTTTTTCATCAGTGTAAGATTATAAAAAAAAACAACTGTTCTTTGTATTTATTTTGGATTAAAACTATTTCCTCACATGATGTTAAACTAAACTGATAAACCTATATGAATTGTATACAGTCTGGGACAGTTCACGTAAGGGTCAGAAGAGATGCCAATGAACAACTAGTCTTAGCTCATCTAGTGGATCGACTTTCTAATCTCGTATCAGATCTGACCATTCAGGTAACTGATATTTTACATTAAAATCCCAAAATTCATTCTAAATTATATTAAGAATTTAGTATTGGGGCATGTATGTCAAAAAAGCAGTAAGCTACTTATGTACTTACATAGTGACCCCAAGCTGGTGTTCTAGGGTTAAAACACCTTGGATTTTTTGAACTAATATAATAAAGGATAAAGTATTTGTGTGGGCTGACAAAACCTGCTTGATACTATGTTCCATCTATAGGTTTTCAAAGATGAATGGGCATGGAGCACAACAACCTTACAGGTTCTTAATGAATCGGCACTGAAATTTCCTTCCTTAGCCCCCAGCATAACCAGTACGATATCGCTAACAACGAGATCACCCGTCACGACAGGATATCCTAGTTTGTATGGTGGTAATTCTCAAGTACAAAAGATTCCACCACCTCAGACTCTTAATCCACCAAGTTTCTCTCCCACATCATGGAATCAGCAGTTTGGTTTTTCGTCGACTTACCTTTCTCCAGCTTCAGCAAGACAACCACTGGACGTAAAAACTAAGAACTATAGTCCATCACAAGGAATTAACCCTCCTCCTTTATAGTCTAATTATATTAATCTTCAAGTTGTTTTTAAAGTAACACTATTCATGTTTTTTGTCGTACTGGCCAGTCAAAGAAATTTTATGTTTATACTCAAAGGGTCATGTAAGTTATTTCTTTTAATCAAAAACCAGTATTAATAATTATAGAAGTATCGTACTTCTTCAAAGTTCTAAGAAAACACTAAGGTGAGCTCTATTTTACATGAAATGCGAGTCCAAAAATTGGTATTCCTTTGATATCCTGATCTTTTCTGAAACTTTACCACAACAAGGCATAAAAGAACGAGTCTTTATAATAACATAAGAGTAGAATGCAGTGGTTGACAGTTTATATTTTTTATGCATGTACAATTTTGATTGTAAAAGGTTTATTGAGTTAAACAGATCTGATGATAATAAATATTTGTAAGTTTTCCCCAGTTCTGTAATTATGGAGTTTCACCAAGTACTGAGGGTTGTAAGTAGTAAGTACATTGCTTACAAATTAACCTTCTGTAAGTTATGATTTTATGTCATCACAGTATAATCACATGTTTATAATTTATTTACTGATATTACATCAGGTTATCCATGAATCTTTCTCCCACTGTAAGCCATCTGAGCACATTAAGTAAAAAATGGTAGCAGCGAGATATCAAAGTTAACTGGTCAGCAGTTCCATCAGGCCTACTCCGTTGGAGATTGTTGAAAATGAAGTGTTTGTTCATCCTGAAATTTTGTAAAACTTTTTCTTACTGTTGTGGTTTAGGATTTGTTCTTTAGAGCAGCAACCCAAGAATCACAAGTAACTGTGGAAGAAGAGTTCTCTATATTTGTTTAATTCAGGCAATGTCCGAGACACTCGTGCCCAAATTCCATCTTGATACAGAAAACCAGAACAATTCATGGTTTTGAAGGTACTTTATCCATTGTGAAGTAATATTGAATTAGAACAATATCTGCAGTAGGATTTATTAAATATAAATTTCCAGAAATATCAAAAAGAATAAAATCTTCGTAAACAAGTTCCTCCGTTTGTGTATGATTTATAATCTAGAGAAAGCATTTCATTACATCATTTGTACTTCTAAACAGAAAATAAAAAAAGCAAAGCAAAAATTCCAACCAAAGACATAATTCCTGCACAAATAACAATAATATATATGGTCTCACAGTTCATGGTTATTCTAAAGTACAAAGTAGACAACTTAGACTAGGCTACACAAGCAGCTATATAATTAAATATTTTAGCGGGAGACTGATCTTGATAGTAGTCTATCAGTGTATTCTTCTTGCCACTGGCTTCGGAGACTTCTGAATTCATGTACAAAATTGTATTGCTGAAACAATAATGTCATGTCATTATTTTACTTTTATAAAGAAATGGGAAATATGTTTCTGAACACCGTAAGAGCGTGAAAAGATGACAAAATCATATTGCCATTTGCATACATCAAAATACTGATTTTATCCTGTTCAATTATTGGAAACAAAATCCTTTCTTTAAACAAAACCAAAACCCTTTCAATTCTTGTATGGTAATGAAAACTTAACAGTACAATTTCTTCAAAACTTTCCAAAAGATCAACACAGGCAACTGTAGAATGTGATTAATTTTCAGTTAATATATTGACTTAGATCACAACTTCATCTCATTTTGCTTTTTAGAAGGACTTTGAAGTCTATCTTAAATTCCCCTCTCTCTGGAGCAGCTGTGATTTGAATCTGGTAAACCAAGATACACTCCTTACTTTAGAGGCATTACAAGAGTAACTTCAAATTCTTTTAGTGAATCTGATAAAAGACAGAAAGGGATGTTGAGTACCTACGTTCTCTTTAATTTATTACTTCAACACTAGGAATGGCTAGTACAAGTAGCCCTCATGAAATGTAACACATCTCCAGTTACAACACAAGCTCCTTATGCTTAGTATTGTATACACGTATGGCTAAAAAAACACCACAGATGAACTTGAAAGCAAGAATTTTGTGAGACTTTAAATTGGCTCATTTGCCATTCGTTACTCTCCAATTTCAAGTCTTTTTATACCATGTAAGCTCTGTTTTAATGTGTAAGAGCTTCAACATCCTTAACTTTTGCTATTCATGTGCTTACGTATCCTTCCTTAACTGTCATTACCCTTGTTGTTATCACATCCTTCTATTGCCCTGTTTGCTTACAACAGCTGCAGGTCAGTATGGAATTTCAAAGTTTTCTTACTAGAAAGTCATGTTGGTTATATTATATCTGTTTACAGAATTCAAAGAGCTAAAAACTATTCATTTTACAGTTTAGTTTCTGTTTATACTGAGGTAATCAAAGCCACATTTTGATTAAAGTCTTAACCCTGTTCATTGGAAAAGATAACAGGTTTGTTGCTTTATTGTGTTTTTATATCTGGTCCTTAGCCCTATTGTAAAAAAAAATAGCTCTATAGGTGTGGGGGATAAGTTAGCAAATTGGATAGAAGAGTGGCTGAATAGAAGAAAGCAGAGGGTTGTTACAAATGGGATACCTCAGGGCTCAGTCTTAGGACCTTTACTCTTTTTGATTTACA